GATTGGACTATTACACAGTTTATAGACATATTTTATTTTTTAAATGAAGCCAAGTAAGCTACTTGATGTGTTTTGTCTTCTGTCGTTACTAGTCATAGGACAATTTTATAATATAAAAGTCTTTTTTTATTTTGCAGATGAAGACCAGTACGTTACTTGTCGTGTTTTGTTCTCTGTCGTTTTTAGTCATGGACCCCGTTTCCTGTCTCTGGTTTGGTGGAATATGTCGGAGGAACTGCGATAACAGTGACTGTTTGAGTAGTTGCAAGAGACAAGTATACTTAGGTGGTTCATGCGTAACTCCAAAGCACTGTCCGATACGTAGAAGATTCAGCTGCAAGTGCTATGGAAGACGTGGTTGATATGAAAAATGAAATACGAATATTTTTCATTTTAATCACCCTTGAATGCTTCAGAATCATACATTAAGGATATGCCGAGTCACACAAAAAAAAATACTCAAAAGAGATGTTTTTCGTATTCGTCCAAAAAATAAATTAATAACATTATACTTATGCTACATTGTGACACTATTCAACAATAGCCTACTTTTCAGAGGTTTTTGCGATTTCAGTATAGAGTCCATGTCCTGAAATGCATATCAGTATAGGGAATTAAGTATTGAGAATTCTGTTACATAAGCATAAGTATCCATCGTCCAAAACACTGGATGAAATGTACCATTAGATTAATTGAATGTTCATTGAAAACTCTGAAAATGTGACTGAATAGGTAATCTTTTCACTTCAGTTAACTAGTTGGCACTATTTCATATAGCGAAAACAATCAGAACTAGAGCAAAGCTCGTTGCAAAGCAACGAGTAGGTCTTCCGTTCGATTTTTAGTACTGTAACACTGCCTGTAAAAATGGTTTATGAAGGTATCATGTCATTCATCATAAATAATATCACTAAACCAAAAATTGTCAACCTGTCTTTTGTATATGTTTATGATTGAATTATATGCGGATACATGTGAAGAAAGCATTTGTGATTACATCCGGTTTGACTACAAGTGACAAAAATAACAGAAAATTAAGTTGGCTGTCTTTGGTAATGTTAAATCATTGGATTTTATGTCAATAACTGCAAAAAAATGTCATTTTTGTTACTTTCGGTTTAAATGGAAGTAAATGGAAGCCATGATACCAGAAGAAATAACGGTGAGATGACCTCTGTGACATAAATAATTCAAATTCACAACAAAATCTATGGAAATAGTTTTTTTAAGCTATCTTTTTGGCCTGAAGTGACATCATTTGATGTTTTTGATGAACTCTCCTGTAAGTACTTGTCATTTTTAACAACTTTGCTTTTTCTGATGAATAACAAATTCTCAATACTTTTTTTGAAACATTAAGAAATAACTTTCGACTTCTTTATACCACTTGTTATAGGGGCTTGCCCCCATTTCATGATATTAATGGAAAGATTATGTAATTCTTTACTACCTTTATTCTGTATGTTTAAACAAAATATTTACAGGTATAGAGATATTTTAGAAAAAATGTTGGAATTTTTTTGAAATTTTCGATATGCATTTTTTCGAAAACCTTCATTATTATAAAGGGCGTTTGACGAAGAAACAATCACTGTCTGTATTTATGTTAACATATCAGGATTGAAGCGCACGGCGAACTGGAATCGAACCCAGGCCTCCCGGTCACGCAGCAAACTCCCTATCAGTAGGATACCCTGGCTGGTCTGGATTTATTAGATTGATAAATTTTTATTTTTTTCTTTTACATTTAAGGCATTGCACACACGATTTTGACCTGTTTCTCAATTTCTGATTTTGGTGATTGTGTTTCTGTTAACGCCGTATGTATGCTAGAAGTCCTACTTCTATTTCTTGGTTAATTCTGATTGTTTTCACAGGTTGAAATGGTACCAGTCAGTTAAATGAAAGAAGACTGCGTCTTCTAAAAGGTTTGTCATTTAGAAACATTTTCAGACTTGTCAGTGAACATTCAGTTTACATCATGTTACACTGTATATGTCATCCTGTGTTTCTGGATGATGACGCATGTTTGTGTTATAGAATTTTCAATGCTAACTTCCCAATGCCGATACTGATATGCATACCTGGAAATGGTTTCTAGACTCAAATCGCAGTAACGTCTGAAAAAGTAGACTATTGTTAATTAGTGTTAAAATGTTGTATATTAAGTTTGATGATATTAATTTATCATTTGGATTAATATGAAATCCTGTAAATAATTTTCGAGTGTTTTGTTATCTAATGATTTGGCAGATTTTTTGTTTCATTCTGAAGCATTCGAAGTTGACTTAAGATAATACATTTGTGCCGCATTAATCTGGACCCCATAAATCAGGACGCATCACCTTCCGGATGACATTTATTGGGAACTGATTTCTTCCACGTTATTCTGTCTCATTAGTCCGGAAAATCGCCATCTGCAACCCTGTGGTCGATTTCTACTATAAAAAATAATATCCAGAGTGTAATTTTTCAAGGAACGACAATTTCGCACCTTTCTTGCAATAGTGATATTTGTTGTATAAACATTAACTCTGCAGTGATTTTGAAGACAGTTACCTGTGACCTCCAAAAATGACTTTTAAATCAGCGTGTGTTTATCCCAAATTTAACATGTTTATTTAAAAGCTAGAAGAATTTAGCTTATATTATGCATTCATTGAATCGGTTCAGAATCATATTGCTTACAAAATATAAATTGGTGAGAATTTGAAAGTTTAAAATAAAATGAACAACAACTCACGAACGCTTTCGTATTGGTTTTGAGTTACGTAAGTTTAACAAAGTGCGATTTTCCTTTCATCAAAACGTCAATATATTTGAAACTTTTTTCTAAAAGACAGTTTAAAAAAGTACAGAATTCAAATAAATGACTGTATATCTATATGAAGAACTATTATTTATTAACGTATATTACTTCAGTATCGTCTGATTACTTTATTATTGTACGTCTCACGGTCTTTTCAGATGTTTTTTTTTTTTCACGCAATATTGATTCATGGCGTTCCCCTTCTATTTTATGTACTTTGGAACAGATTATGGCATTCCCTTTCTATTGTGTAAATGTACATTGTAAAAATTATTTCTAATTATGTCAAAAATTTCTGAATTTCTTGGATTATGCATTGAAACGTATGGTATGACATCATTAACGGGTTTATTTTTCACTGTAAGAAGATATTTTCTTTCGTGAGATTTTCCTTAGTGTGAGCGGATTTATATATATTGAATATATTTATTAAAATTTTGCATTTTAACTACGTTTCTAAATACCTAATTGAACGATGATGAGGATGATCAAGACATGAAAAAAATATTAAAAACTTCCAAGATCATTTAAATTAAGCAATAAAGCTCGTCTCTTAAATTACATCTTAGTCTTACCAAAGCACCCTTTGCAGATAAAAATAACGAACCAGCAATCATCAATAGATGCAACTAACCCAGGTGTATTACTTGTCCATACCTGACAGAAGGATTTAAATTTCATTTCAAAACCGGAAGTGAATTTACAATGAAAAATCAATGTCATGCACCAGGGGCTTGTAACATAAAGGGTACTTAAGTCTATGACCATGCTTAAATAGGACTTCAGTGCAGTCTTAGCCTTAAGACCGTAACTAGAAGCGTGCTAAGATTTAACAATCTTGGCAAAACGTAGGTGGCCAGTAGAGGTGACTTAAGTATATCTTAACTATCTTACAACATATTTAGGAGTAATAAATTTAAAAATCTCGACATTAAAACATTTCTTTGTTCATATTATAACCGTGCAGAATTGACCTTTTATTACAATATTTCTTTTGGACTTTTATTTTAAACTTAAATCTGTGTAATCAGATATTTTCACTGAAATTAATTCTGAATCTTTTTTTATGGCTGGACAATGAAATAACTAATTATTGATTTCATTGCATAGTGACACTCTATGGACAATGCAAGGGACAGGGTGTTAACAGTCACTAGTCTCTTATAAAAACTTTACATGTTAGTATTCCATTGATCTTTCTTTCATGTCCATCTTATCGAAACTTTTCACAGATTGTAATTTAATCGACTCATGTCATTTTGTCACTCATTTTGCTAATTGTTGTCCAAGAACTCTTTTATATAAGAGTATTTGAATTGTATGTGTTAGTTCGAAGGTCCGACGCATTACTGGCCACTTCCGTCTGTGCTCCCTGCGTGTATTTCTTGAATGTCAAAATTGCTATCCATCATTTAATTACATGCTTTTATTAATAAACTCGGAAACTTAATAACCCGTTACTTTGGATTTCTAATATGTGCATTCGGGAAGGATCCTAGGAATACGGCTTTTCTACTTCCGGCCAACAGTGCCACTCATTTTCCCTGCCAACATTCCCTCTTTACCGATCAACATCATAATAATATGCAGTAAAGAAAATAATTTACCAGTGCAAAATAGTGATATATGAGTTGTACCTTTTTGCGCGGAAGAGGGGGGGGGGGGGGTGCAGATTTATTGAAAATTGATTTTAGAATGAGTCTCGACATGGCATATATGTACATGAAAAATTCTGGCATATTGTTAATTTTAATTTTAAAACCATGGTTTAAAAGAATTTGCTTTCAATAAAAACACTCACTAGGTGACAATGACAATATTCTCATAAAGGTACAAACATACATTGTAGAGAGGAGGTTTAATTTACCATATACTGATTTTTTTCTTGTGTTCTACCATTGCAAAGTGGTTATAGTGTCTGTTAGATAGATTCGCGAAACAAGGAGTTGATCCTTACGTCGCCGGTTCGATCCCACTGTGGGACGTGAAGACCGGTCCTTCGAATGAGACTGTTTAAACCGATGTCCCGTGTCGCAGTAGGTGCTGGCACGAAAGAGAAAATTCCCTGTTCAATGGCCCTAGGTGCCGAGTATAGGACAAAATTTGCAGCTCTCCACAGGCAAGTGGTGGCATCTCCATATGAGTGAAAAATTCTCGATTGGGACGATAAACAATAAACAAACAACAAAGATTTATTGAGTCATTTCACTGTATTTTACTGTCATTTATTTTGAAAGTAATACATGTGTGTATTTCAATCTTCTTTATCGCATCGTATCAGCGATTACTTATTGTCCTTTTGACCATGCACTTACAGAAGTACCGCATACTTCCTGGACAAATATCTGACAACAAACATATGCCAGACAAATAACTGTTTGCTTGACAATTGGATTTGCAGTCTTCCAGGTCACATGTTCGGAGGCAGATACAGCTTTCGACAAAATATCCAGACATCAGTAGGGACAAGACACCAATCAACATCCGCATGGTAAAACGCTGCATCTATGGATTGGAGTTTTATATCATAATTCAAATATACATTCCTTACACTCTTTAAAAAGAAATATTTATGAGTTCAAATATAATATTATATCTTTAGTGTCGTCTTCTTCTTAAATAATAACTTTATAGATATAAAATTAAGGTGAGTGAGAATAAACAACAGATGTACAATGAGTACTCCTATTTGGTATGAAATCAATTCGATCGTTTCTTTAAAAAAATGATTATTGGCAAAGAGAAGAAATCTGTCAGTTTAACAGAGAGAGAGAGAGGAGGGGGAAGATTCTCTTTCTCACTTCTAAAATCTTAAACTAGACATCAGCATTATTTAAAGGGTATATGCAATTAAATAACCGCACTGAATACTAAATAATTTTAGGGTGTTATTTTGAAATTGAATTTGTATGTCAAAGTCAAATAAGATATATTTATATACATTTAAAAGAATGAAATCTCTTACCAGATCGCAGAAATCCTCCCTTTAAAAATAATTATGCAAAGTTTAAAATAAGGAAACGCTTGTTTTATTTTATATTATTTTTACATTTTTTTTATTGGTTAATATGCGCGATAACAGTTTTATTAATTTGCTGGTTAGTGTCATAATTTATAAATGTTGCAGGTGGTCAACAAAAATTTAAATATCATCTATGACATTTCATGTTACTATGACCAAAACTTAATAAATATCGTTCAATGCCATGTTTATTTTGATATCAACAACTATTTTTATTTTGTAATGTTGCATGAAGGCTAAGGTTGCAATCCATTTTTCTTCTTTCCTTTTAAACGGCTATATAGGTTTTTTTTTTAAATTTCATACAAAATTTATATCATTATATTTGTCTCTTTTCCCTAAGGAAATAACTCATATTTCTTTATCTAATGGTCACTTACATTATGTTAATCCAGTTGTAACCAATGTACAAAATTAATAAGATTTTTAATATATTAAATCCCTTGAAAGTTACAGCCATTACTATCAGATGTCTACAAGTTTCTTAGAAATATTGACTGTGACATTTTTTAGATTAAAGAAAGTATTTCAAACATAGAAAAAAAAAGTTTCCATACATAGTTACACATTTACTA